GAGAATCAGCGTAGCGATAAGTGATACGATGAGGCGCTGCTGGCGCGCTGAATCGTCGCGCTTGTGTCAATATGCCAGTCTGCCCGCGTCGTTATAACCCTATATGACGAGGCGTGACTTCTTGTACGGCTCCTCGTTCTTGCCTTTTATCTCATTGACCAACCGGGAGTTGAAGATTCGTACAGCTCTGAGATCCAAATCTTCACGGTGTATTATCTTGAAAGTGCCATTCGCAATGAGACCATCGATCTCAGCCATTGCAGAGAGCTCAAATGGCGCGCCATTTGCGGTTATCTTCCCTTCTCGGCGCAGCTTGACTGCTAGTCCCAGGTCATCTTTTTCCTTCCTAGATAGGAACACCTCGACCTCAGTCGTATAGGTCTTTGGCTTGTTCTTCGAACCTGGGGGCCGTCCTCGGCGGCGTGGCGCTGGCGGCATCACCGGTGCATCAGGAACATGAATCCCTCTCTTCCTCAGGCGGCGATTCAGATTCACAGCGCCGGCATGCTCTCCTGATTCCACTTCTGCGGCAGCGTCACATAATGAGGATCCCCAAGCAACTACTGGGCCGCTTTGCCGGCCCGCCAGTAGGCCGTCGATTTCTCTACCTTCTTCCTCCTTTTGAGGAGGAAGATCAGTGTCTAGTAGGCGCCGAGTCGGAGGCGATTCGATCTTGTCTCGCTGGTAACGTCGGACTGAAGTTACACGGAAATCAGTAATACCGCTGGGTAGGTCCACAATCATATTGTAATCGTTGACTGAGATAACTTTGTGTGGGCCAGTCCATCCTTTACCTTCTCGCCAGACCTGCACGTCGGTTCCTGGTGCCAGGTTGAGCATTTCCGTGACAATCGGGCCGTTCCTGGCCTTGAGAGCGTTATTGACTTTACGCGTGGCCATGGCGTTCCTTAAGTCGATCATGGCCTTCCTCATGGCCTGGGCGCGCTTTGCTGTCAATGCTGATGGTGGCGAGTCGTAAGTCATGCGAGGATAGGCACCAAAGACTAGTATGGTTGGTACTAATCCATCTGGTCCTACTGTGTCATTGACAGCCTTAACCACCATCTGAAGTATGATCTCCTTGTCGACGCTTTCACCGAGTTCCGACAATATGATATTATAAGCGCGGCGCAGTGGTGTGTGGTACCGTTCGACCTTGCCAATAGCGTTGTGAGCCTCGACAGGCACCTGGTGGCACCGGATTCCCATCATCCTGGCCTCAGTTCTAAATTCTACTGTAGCAAAGTTTATTCCTGCGTCGTGGGATATGACATTAGGGGGACCAAGATATGTGTCAATCCATGCTGCCCGAAGCGCTTCCCAGGTGTCCTTAGTTGATAGGGACTTCAAGAATCTCGCTGCTTGGAATGAGGTTGCCCAATCAACGATATGCAGTACTGGCTTGCCATCAAGATACATAACGTCAACAACGATCTCGTAGTTGTACTCGCAGTCGTCATGCAACGTGAATCTGTATCGTCTAGGTGCTTGCCGGTTTATTTGGCAATGGTGGCAGAATTCCTCAATCTGCGCAAGCATCTTATAATCCACGTCAAGATGGCCTGCACGCTTTAAGACCTTGTGCAGCCTGTCAACTGCAGGGTGACCGAATCGGCGGTGTAACCGCCTCATCTCAACCTCAGTTAGAAACGCCTCTGGTGCGTACTTCTCATCCAGGAAGAACCACGGGTGGCCTCGCTTGCGAATGACCGGTACGATAAGATCTCCCTGGATCATCTTATTGGTAAGGTTGTCAAATTTAACGCGTAGGCGATCCATATCTTTGAGGCAGAACAGGAAAGGCGTTGGTGAATCCATGGCGTTGAATTCTATATCACCAAACTGCGATTCCACGGTAATCACTGCAGTCGAGGTTATTGGGTCGCCCATGCCAAAGCGGACTGAGTACTCCCCTACACGCGATCTATCGACCTTAGTGTGGGGATAGAGTCTCAGGAAGGCAGCAAGTTGTCCTTTACCAATGGTTGAGACAGTCGATGCTCCTGTATCTGGCATGATCCCATAAAAAGTCTCATTTTCATAGTGGTCGAGAAGAAACTGAGAGGCAGGTGCAAGGTAGTTATTCTCGCCTTCTGATTGGCCAGATAATTTAACTTCAAAATCGAGGTGAAGTCCAGGCGGCTCTATGCCATTATTGCAGCCTGTTATCCGGTGGATAAAGGCACGATCCTGCAGTTGGTTGACCATAAAGTACGCGGTGGCCACGTCCTGCTTAACCTCCTCCTCAGTGGAATCCTTGTCTTCCTCGTCTGACGAGGTGCCTTCATATTCCTGCAAGAAGGTCTGGTAAGCGTAGGTTGACAGCTTCTTCCTTCCATCCACCTGTCGATAGCGGTCATATCGATCTCGCGCTTCGCGGCGTTCTTCTTCAGAATGCTTCCATGAACGGCAGTTCTCTTGATGACAAATAAAGCACCTTCTATCGCTCTTCCTGAGTTGTTTAGCGTCGTCACGGTTCTTGCGTTGGTATTCTTGACGCGATCTAGGATAGTCGTGGCGATTTGTGTGTCCTATAAACTTCCTGTCTGTATAGAACACTTGAGGATTATTGACTTTATCTACCATATACTGGCCTGCTGATTCCTTCCGCTGCACTACACCTGCCCTGGCACGCAGCTTAGAAACGATCGTCTGGAAGCTGCTTGTTGGTTCACTGAGAGCCTCGCCCATTTCTGGTGTAGATTGACACGCTCTCGTGATGGCAGCGATGAGATGTTCATCACCAGCATATGCCGATCCTAACGCTCGCTGGCATAAATGAAGTTTATCGACCATGAGATCTATAACCTCAACCAACAATTTGCCGGGATTGCTTTGGCGCTCTCCAGCCAGGGTGACTGTGGTCCACTCCTGGTAGTAATCTGTCTGGTTGTTGGGCGTGTCAAAGTACACTTTTATCGCATTATACGCCTGAGCGAACGAAGCACCTGGCTTGACATGGTGCATATAGTACGCCCCTGCACGTCCAGATAGCATCTCAGGAAAGACTTCCCAATATTGACTAATTAGAATGCTAGAGAGCTTGCACGCTCTTAAGAATGCGCGTACTTTATCGTCCAAGATATCATACCGATCTCCAGAGTAAGCAAACTTTTTATCCCATATCTTGACGAACGTGAGCATTGACTTTGAATCAATAGGCTCACACTCAACTTCTCTAGGTGGTAGCATGGTCCAATCATCCCACTCTCCTAATGGCATTGAGATCCCAGGCGCTGGGGGTGCTATAGTATAACGCGGTGTCTGCCTATGCCAGTCGTCCTCAAGTTTGGGGCGGTATGGGTAAGTATAAGCAGGTCCAGGCAAGCTTAGGCGATCTTGAGGTCCATTAGGCTTGTCATCTCGTGGCACTATTAGCGTAGCATTCGCGCCGGTCAAGAACGGTGATCGCTTGAAGCCTTGAGCGTGATTTTCTGGCTGTTGACCATGATCTTGAGACGTCTGCTTCGGTGTCTCTACCAACAGTTGCTTACCCTTTGCGTTGTCCTTCTTGCCACTCTCGATAGAAGAGACTATTACCTCTGGTTCCTCTTCTTCACTGCCATTTTTTGTAGTAAGTTGAGGGAACTGACCCTTGGCCATTTTCGACCGTGAGTCAAAGGTTTTGGCGGCAGTAATCTCATGCGGCCACTCAGGCATCCTAGTCATCTGCACTAAATCATCTAGTGCCTTTGCAATCGTCTTCTTCCTGCCAACATAATCGACAAAGATGCCTCGGTCCATTAGCATGTCCTTGATCTTTTTCTGGACGTGTACGCTAAGCCGTTTAAAGTCATCATGGGTCCAGTTGCCGAAGTAATCAAGAAGCCACATGAAGATCTCATAATCAATATATTGATTGCACGCGGCATAGTACAAGGCACTTATTGCACGAGTAGATAACGCTATCTCGGTGTCGCCAGGTTCAACTTCCTTATCCCATAGCGCCATGTTGACCAACTTGCGTCCCGTCTCGTTGTTGAACCCAATCTCAGTCATCCACCTGTCGTCAGGGAAGTTGATTTCCGGTACGGTTTGGTACCTTCCTGAGGAGACTCCTCTATCTCCTGGAGATGGGTCTTGGTATTGATATTCGCTAGTATCGTCCTGGCTATTGTCCGACAGGATGGCGTTTTTGTCAGCCATAACTGGTCTTGTTGATATTGTGAAACTTTCAATAAGGTGTCACGTTTTTCTTGATGATTGTTTTTGTTGTTTTTGCTGTTGGCTTGTGTACGTGCCAACGACGCGTCTCGCGATAGGGCGGTAGCTCTAAAATGTTATTACAATAACAACCTATCCCAGACTACAGGTTCCTAGATCTCGCTCAGAGATGAGAAAACCTTTTAGCAAAGACTCGATTCGTCAACAGGTTGACGGCGTCGAATCTCCCTCTTCCACTGGACTTGGTTTCCTACACTAGGAAGCTCAAATCCTGGAATCCAGTTCTATTCTGTAGCCACAGGTGACTATCGATATAGAATTCAGAGACCTTGCCAATCTGTCTTAGTTTTTGCAACCAAGACTGATCAGTGTGGGTGCACTAAGGTGCATATGCGTACGTACGAAGCACTTGAGTCAATCTCAATAGGTGATTATTGGGTTCTGTGTTCTGTTGTGTCTGTCTGTCTTAATGAGGCCCTGACGCGGTCTATATAGTCCTTGCTTGACGAGGTCACGTGTAAGCCATACGTGACCTCTCCTTGCTGCATACCAGTGCCAGGCATCTCGATTGCACGAAGCAACCAACAGTATGCCTTCTCTCTTAAGCTGTCAAAATCTTTAAGCCAAGTATCTTGTAGATCTCCTAACTCGCCTTGGTAAATAAGAGCTGGAGGAATTGCTATTCCATTAGCACAAATATATGCAATAAAAGTAATAAATTCTGTGCTCCTGTCTTGAATTGCACCAAGTAATTTCTTTGAATGGAGCTGAGATTTTAAGACAATCCGCTTTTCAGTATGACAGAGGCCTATATTGAATCCTTTCTCATCAAAGTTATAGGTATTTGATGGGCTGATGCGATATTTTTTGATTTTCTCTGTGAGCTTTAGTATATTTGTTAGTTAGATAACATATCAGCGAAAATTCAAAGAGGAAATCAGTCAAAAAGTTCATACTGTATTATAAAAATGTTCAAAATGTACTGAATTATCAGCGACTTTGCAAGAATAATCAATTGCTTTCAGATAAACACTATCAATTCGATTGTGGTAGTGGTGACAGAATCGACGAATCCAGCACTCCCCAACATCATGTTGTAGAAGCTCTACAACAAGATTTCGGAGAATTTGAGGCGTTGGAGGTAATCCACGAGACGAGAGCTTCGAGATATGACGAAGAAGAACTTCTTCTTGGGCATCTGTAAGGAGTTTGCAGTGAATAGAAGTTGCTTCCTGGTTTGATACGGTCTGGCCTTTATACCGGCGCCTTAAGGTCGAAGGCTCAAGATTATATTTTCTGGCAGTTTTGGCATATTGAGGCGTTTTTTGCGACTCTAGATCACTAATTGCCTTTAAAATATCCGCTTCGTTGACCATATTATCGAATTTTGAATGTTATTTGTAGGAGCGGGGTAACACGGGCATCGAGTGATCGGAGGCATCGAGTGATCGGGAACGATAGTTAGGAGAGATGTGTAGATGCTACGAGGGCAATCTTATCCAGTTCGATCTCTAGAGGGTAGAAGCCCAATTCCTAATGTAGGATAGGTGTAGGAGTGGTGTGGAAGACTAGAAGAACTACTCTTACTCCTATTAGGATAATAATGGAGAGGTCTTCTAGGTGTTTGTTCACTTAGTTTGGAATTAGGGAAGAATCTAGTTAGGGTCTGGGTCAGGTGCAGCCAGGCCCCCAAGTCTCAGTGCCAAAGTACACTTTGCTAAGGACATAGGCTGTTATGGCCTATTGTAGGAAGTGAGGTTTCATCCTGTGAACTGTGTTTCCAAGAGAGTGTAGAGCGCTCACTATTGTGATTGCTCTAGATGTTATTTCTTGAATATGCCAGTTAAACTTCAGCTTCTTGTTGAAGAGGATCCCTAGCCAGTGGAGGTATGGGCGATTAGTTCCTTTAGAGATTCTAATTGAGCCAGCTGTGACTGACGGGATTTTGATTGGATCCTGTTCTTCTCGTTTTTAGGAGAAGTAAATAAGCTTATATTTATCTAGTATAAATATAATTTCTTTAGTATTCCTTCCAGACATTTATATATACATATAAGTCTTCGGTAGCGAGGTAGTCCAAGCAAAGACACGAAAGAGAAACATCTATCGGTAAAACATCTATCGGAGCAAAGTATACACAACCTCAGCATCCCCTGGATCCAGTGACAAGGCGATGGACTGCCGCTGCATGATTTTGTAAATGCATTTGATGCAGGAAAATTTCGCCGTCATCGCAGAAATTGCACTGCCGATCCGCAAGATGCTTGTCTTGAAAATGTCGCACTGTTGCGTCGGGCCTCGACCACTTTTTGACGCGTTTGTGTTCTGGAAGCAAGCGATTACCGAAGCACTGAAAACAGACTATTGGTTTCTCGACATTTGGCTTCTTGCGATCTCGCTCTCCGGCACGGATGATATGCTCCCTGGCTTCCTCCAGGAGATCGCGTGAATCCGAAGGGGCAACATCCGATACCGGCGTCGCGCTGGCTACGCGCTTAGACGGCTTCATTTGATCGAGTTCGTCGTCACTGGGTGAAGCTCGTTTTCGTCGACCACGAAGAGGGCCCCCTTCCCAAACGCCGCAGTATTGAGTGACGGCCGCGGTGGCCGCGTTTCGCCTCTTCCACTCATTGTTAAGGGAGTGGGATGTAGGCCAGGTGAATAGCTTCTCTAGGAGGTGGATCATTTCGGAAGGCATCTGGGTGACGGTCTGCAGGTTGTGTTTGGTCTCTTCATTGTGGAAGGCGGTCCCCGACCGTTGACGTTCAATATCGATCTTTGCCTGTTTCCGGCTGAACGCTTGGCGTACTTCTTTCCTCCGGACTCGGCAAAGGCGACGGAAGATTTTATCAACATCTTGGGTCAGTCGACCCAGCCGGGACATGTTGCGAGGGCTGGGACTCTGTTGGCAAAGTATGGCTTGCGCATCCCGCTCGTGTACTGCCGCCAGATACTCCGGATGCTGATACAACTCCGCTCGGTCTTGTGCGCTGATGACTCGTGGACGCCTCTTATCAATCCAACGACTGATGCGCCGGATGGCGTGCATCAACATCGTGTTGGGCTTCCGGCCATTCATTATATTCTGCATGTCGGTATCGATATTGCGTGGTAGATAGTGGTTCAAGAATGTGCGACTGGAGGCATGCTTCATGATGAGATTCTGCTGTGCCTCGCTCACACAACCTATATTAACTCTCTGTCAGGTTCCGCTCTTTATTGGGGACAAATGACATTATGCCAGACAAGGGCGAACTTACCACTTTCATTTAACTGCTTTCCACCGCCATATCGCATACGGTGAGCAAAAAAGATGTGCAGCCACCCGTGGATCTCTCCTAAAGATTGCAGTCGGGCGGACATCGTGCTCGCGTTGATTGGTCGATTCCACTGGATCATTGGAGTTCCATCGACTATCGTGGTCATGCAGAAGAGAAAGTATTCCTCAATTTCAGGCTTGAGATATAGCTCCATCTGCTCACAACCGTCTTCCACTAACAGCCGTCGCACGTCTTCCATAGACCGAAGCCCGTTGGCTTCAAAGGCATCTAGGTAAAATAGGATGCTGAACAGGAAGACATGAGGGCTAAAAATCAAGGTTGGATCATCCACAATTTCAGGAAAGGGGAAATTGTTGCTAGCACCAGATTAGTCTGTGAATGAAAACCACCTATACTTAGAAGAGACGGTGAAGGGATGTATGCTCACTGCTGTGTGATACCAAGGAATTGTTTAGTGTGGACGGCACGAAGCTCTACCATCGGGATCGGAGGCCCGCCAAGGGGATCTCGTTGAAGAGAGAATTGGAGGTGCTTGAATTGCAGCGAGAGCAGGGCGGAGATTCGATTCACGGTGAAGATCCCCAGGATGGTGAAAAGACAGATCTGGATCCGCTCGAACCCCAGGTGAAATCGCTTCTCGGTCGTCCGGAGGACGGTTTCATTGAAGGCAGTCAGATCCTGAACATGGACCCCAGTTTTCTCGCGTTCTTCCATGTCCAATTTCCATTTGTCCATGAGACTTCGAAGACCCTATTCACTGATTAGAGACAGAGGTAAAGGTCACCATCGAGCATGAAAGCTTACCGCGTTGATCTCTTCACACTGTACTTTATTGAAGCTAGTCCGCGTAATCAGTCGATAGTATCCCTGAAGAGCCTTCCAATCTGCCTCAAGCGCGCTCCCTTTCTTGATCCCTTTCATAAGCCGGCCATTTTTCCCTCGCTTGACCTTCATACGATAATAAAAAAACGGTGGATATTGTTCGTCGTTGCTTGCCGGAGGGCCTGCTCTGCGTTGCTCCATTTAGGAGGGGCATCCTGCTCGGCCGCTTTCACCGCGCAGTACCTGGGAGTAGGTTAGTGAAACCATTCATCTCAACCAGGAGTGGCTTGGGTGGACTCACTTCTGCCACAGTGTCTTGATCTGAGATCTACGAGTCTTAGTATTGTCTGATCTCCCGTAGTCCAGAGGAACGTTCGCGATGTCTTCATCCGTATCGTCGTTGGGGTCATCGCTGTACTCGGGCAACTCAGATGGTACGACGGAGGTCTTCTTTCGCTTGGAAGCACTCGAGGGAGGGTTCCGTAATCGCTGTGATGGAAGCAGTGCAGGTAGACATGGCTGGGCGTTGGAATCTGGCTCGGTCAAGGTGGTCGAGTAGCCATCATCACGCTCATAGTCATCGTCAGAGCGATCTGAGTCGGAATCGGAAGACGAACTGGACTCGTCACCCTCGTGAACAGCAGCAGCATCATAATCGTCATCAGGGTCGATAGACTCGCGGAGTGGAGGGGCTTGTTGGCGGACTCTAGTCTTTACACTCATAGCGAACCATAAGAAAATGAGTCGACTGATGGTGCTCAAAACCAGAAATCAGGTGGGGGGTAGAGAAGCGCCAGAGAAGGCAGAGGAAAGGACGAGGATGGAGGGCGATGGCAGAAGAAGAAGAAGGAAATATGGGCTCACGGCAGGCGGCAGACGCCCGCGTGGCCCAGCAGGAAAGTGAGGCCAGTTTTGGCTTCATCGCGAGCCAGCATAAAAGTCGAAAAAGCGCCAAAATGCATGGGTCAGGAACTCAGGAACACAGGCACCCCACTGTCAGCGTGCTACACCCGTGGATCTCTCTCCGGCGCGGATCAACTATGCTCCGAGAGTCATGTGACCTCTGTAAAGGGGTCAGCGCAGCTGTAGTTAGCTTAGATAACCAATAACAACAACCAGCACATTAACAGGTTATGAGCTCCTCGCATCTTCAATCTAAGCTTTATAGATGCTTTATCGTGATTACCTGGACCTGACTTACTTCCTAATTCGAATCCAGTCACAAGATGGCCATATACGACCGCACCAGTCAAGGATCGCGACAAATCAACTTAGAGAGCCACCTACAACAAACATCAAAATGTCGGTCAAGAAGCCACCAAGACCTACATTGGAAATCAAGAACTTCACGATCGACTGTTTCTTCGACATGTCAGGCCTCACCGTCTCACTGTCTCACCGATTGTCTGAAGGACTTCTAGGCTTAAATATAGCTCCTAGGAGTACCTAGACTCGACTCTGATTTTCGATTATAACCTCCTCTACTCTTCCAAAAATGTCTGCCTCTAACACCTTTACCTCTGGTGAAAAGCTCCCAATCCTCGACTACTCCAATTGGGTTGATTGGAGTGAATACTGGCAAGATCATCTTATTCTCTATGACCTATGGCAGTACGTCGATCCAACATCTACAGTGACGGTGCCACCCCCTACGACCAATGTCAATCGAGATATTGCTAAAACGATAACCGAAAACCTTACCAAAATCCGTCAATATGTGTCCCCTGAATGTCGCAAGCTCCTAGTTGGCCATACAAACCCAAGAGACCTCTGGTCCTCACTCAAGGCTGGCTGCGACCGCGGGACAACTCTCCCATTAATTGCTCAATACGAATCATTCTACAACAACAAGTGGGAGCCAAAGGATACCATTTCTACCTACACAAGTCGTTTCCGCAATATCTTTCTTTCCTTGGAAAACACCTCTTACAAAATCCATCGAGATATAGCCGTTCATATCCTCGTGGATCGACTCCCTGACTGTTACAAAACCAAAGTTCAAACGGTAAAACAATTGAACCTTCTCTTCATTGAAACAGTGACCTACCTGCTTGCCAATATCAAAGATTCCTCTTCTGAAGGAGACAACACGTCTGGCCAAGCCCTAGTAACTCGAGGCCGTCGTCCGAACCGCAGAACAAGCTCTCGGAACCTCCGTAATGGAGGCAATAACTCAAATTCAAACCGTCGTGAACGATCAAATCGAAATTCTCGGAATAAGCGACTTATCTGTAACTGGTGCAAACGAGAGGGCCATTACGAGCGTGACTGTCATATTCAACAACAGCAACTAGACTCTGGCGCTGCAAAGCTTGACAGAGGTCGTGCCTACTTAGTTCAACAGCCAAGCAGTTTGCAACCTCCGCCTTAGCCGCTACCTCTACTGGCTCCTCCACCTCCGCAGGCAAATTTCTCCTCCTCCCAGTCTCAAAGCTCTGAGTCAAACGCTTACAGTTATCCATCTCATCTTCCTCTTACAAGAGCATCCTACATCAATAGTGAGATCCGACAACAAGACTATCTCAGCTGGATACTGGACTCTGGAGCTACACAGCATTTCTGCAATAGCAAATTGGACCTTAAGGACTACAAACATTTCCTTGAACCCAGAGAGATCTACCTTGGAGATAATACTACGATCTATGCAGAGGGATCTGGTACTCAACATCTTCAAGTTGGGCCTTATATTCTAGTCCTCAACGTCTGGTTCGTACCAAAATTGGCAGAGAACCTGCTGTCCTTGCAGCTCCTTGATCGAGCTGGCTACTCTACTCTTATTGAAAATGGCATTATCTACATACAGCAGCAAGGCGACTCAAATTCCGCATAGTTTCAACTAGCCAATTCGAAGCATGGAGATCTTTATTGAATGCATATAAGTCCTGCATCTCTAGTGAATGCCCCACGAGCTCTCCGTACAAGAGAATTCAGTACACTCAGGCTATGGCATAATCGCCTAGGCCACCAAAATTTTCGATCAGTGGGAGATCTCATGAACTTATCTGTGCCGCGTCAACTACCTACATGCACAGCATGCCTACAAGGTAAAATGAAGGCAGATTCGCACCCTCCTGTGCTTGAACGTTGCAGCAAGTCATTCGACCGCGTGCATGCCGACCTTATCCCCTTGGACGGTATCTCCCTTGGTGGATCTAAGTATATGTTACTACTGGTCGATGATTACACTCGCTATGTATGGTATTACTTTGCCTCAAGCAAGAATGTTCCTGCAATTACGCCTCTCCTACAAGGATTCATAAACTTGGTCCTAACTCAATTCAATGCTGTAATTAAGTCATGGCGAACTGATGGTGGTACTAGTGAATTCATAAATAGCATGGTCAAAGAAATAAATCGCCAATACGGAATACTTCACTAAATCTCTACATCTGGTGTCAAGCAACAGAATGGTGTACTGGAACGACGAGTTCAGACGATCAAGAATATGGAACGCTCTATGAGAGCTGGTGCTGGTGTCCTAGATGACTACCGACTACAAGCTGAGTCCCTGGCCACCTCGGTATTTCTAACTAACATCCTGCCATCCACTACTCTAGGCAATACATCCCCACATCTTCTTTTATATAAGAAGTAACCACCTCTTACTATCTTGAAACCCTGGGGATGCCTCGTCTGGATACACCTTCGAAAGGAGCACCGCAGCTCGAGCTCTGATCCTCGCTGCAGGCCAGCCATGATGGTAGGCTATATACAAGACTCAAAGTCTATTTATAAATGTCTTGATCTTCATACTCTGCAAACAAGCAATCACTCTGAAATCAAGTTTGATGAAGACCTTTTCCCTGGTCTATGGCTTAAACGCCCTGCCAGTTTTAAACTGTCTATTGCACATAAAAGAAATCCGCCTGGTTCAGTAGTTGATACTGTACTTGGTCAGTCAGTACTGGGAGCGCTTCCCAATGTATCAAGCGTACCATTTTCCTTGATGAACCCCTTCTGGCTGCAGCAATCCTAACCACCTGCAGATCCTGTGAACCCGGAAGATCCTGCAAAGCCAGTAGATCCTATGGAACTAGCAGATGTAGCCCAAAGGGCATTGGACTCCCCCTAGTCCCTGGCACTCCAAATGGACAGCCAGCCCATCTACAACCCACGAGGAAGCGTTGTATTTGGCACCTGCGTCAAAATCCATGAGCACGATACTACTAGGGAGCTTGTGGAAGCCGCTTTGATCGTGCAAGGCATGGAGTCGCTCTCCTGCCCACCCTGGCAAACAGCAGAGAGGATCCAAACAGACCACAATGGAGATCCTCTCTCCTATTCGGATGCCTTGCTCCAGGATCCGATTAGGTGGCCACCAGCAGTGCAAGAAGAACTGAAATCTCATGAAGAGAATGGAACTTGAATAGTTCAAGAGATCAGTCAGATGCCAAAAGGGCGTAAGCCGATTCCCGGCAAGTGGGTATTCAAGCGTAAACTGAGTCCTGATGAAGACATTCGCTATAAGGCATGATTGGTGATTAAGGGATTCCTCTAACGCTTTAGAGTAGACTTCATGAAAACTTATGCCCCAACTGCCTCGTTAGCTGCATTCTAACTCCTGGTGGCAATAGCTGTGCACAATGGCTGGTCCTTACGCAATCTTGATATTATTACCACTTTTCTAAATGGCGATATAGACTCTGAAGTCTATATAGGGATACCAGAAGGCATGGATTTAGATCCAAAGAAATATGTTTTAAAACTGCACCGGTCTCTGTATGGACTTAAACAAGCTCCGCGCATCTAGTGGGATAGGATAACCTCATTCCTATTAAAAGCAGGCTTCTATCAGTGCGATGCTGAGCCAGCTATATTCATTCGCAGCCTGGATAACAAATTCCTCATACTCCTCCTATTTATTGATGACATCCTGCTAAGTGGTGACCAGGACGCAATTGAGGAATTCGTCAAAGAATGCTGCAATGAATTTAAAACTCAAGATATAGGAACACCTAGGCGCTTCTTAGGCATCCATATTGAATATCGGAATGGCAAAGTGATATTGCATCAGAAGGCATATATACAGCGAATTCTCGAGCGCTTCAACGCACCCACCTGTTGCAACTCCACTTAATCCCAAGCACCCACTTGTTGAGGCAACTAATGCAGAAAGTCTAAATGAAACAGATGCTTTAGAATACTGTGCTGCAGTGGGAGCACTAATCTATCTTATGATTTGTACGAGACCTGATCTTGCATTTGCACTTTCTCGCCTCTCCAAATTTGTGCAGAAACCAGGTATAAAGTATGCCACAGCGCTTAAGCGTGTACTCAGGTATCTGGCTGGCACCCAGAACCTGGGCATCGCCTACTGCAAATCATACTCTAATGACTCAGTCTTATATGGCTATAGCGACTCTGACTTTGCCGCTGATTTGAATAACTGACATTCAACTTCTAGTTTCATATTCCTTTTGAATGGCGGCCTAATATCATGGAAATTAAAACAGCAATCTTTAGTTACCAGCTCAACTTATGATGCTGAATATATTGGACTAGCAACTGCATCATATGAGGTTATCTGGCTTCAGAAACTCATTCTCGCTATCCTGCCTCAGTATGCAGAACATACAATGCCTTCCAACACAATTCATTGTGATAACCAAGGCGCCATTGTAACTGTGAATCAACCTAGTCACTCGCCCTCTACTAGGTCAAAACATATCAATATCTATTTCCACGTTATACGCGAGGCTATCGCAAATGGCCTTATTCGTCTAGAGTATATTCGTATAACAGAAATGACGGCCGATATATTGACGAAAGCACTACCGAAGGAATTGCATGAACGTCATGTAAAAGGAATGGGAATGGAATCAATATGACATGTACCTGAACTGGCCTGGTTTCCTCCATGATTTTTCATCCCACAGGGTTTTGCATGGAGGTTTTCCCCCAGGACTGCCTGTATATACTCTCTTTTCTCCTTTTTTCCTTCTCTTCTTTTCTCACTCTCTCTTACCTCATTAAATCACCCGTGATCTAGTGGGAGGATACTAGCCGATCGGACGCCTTTGGTGAGATCCCGGATGAGTGGGAGTGTCAGCGTGCTACACCCGTGGATCTCCCTCCGGCGCGGATCAACTATGCTCCGAGAGTCATGTGACCTCCGTAAAGGGGTCAGCGCAGCTGTAGTTAGCTTAGATAACCAATAACAACAACCAGCACATTAACACCCACCACGGGACCACGTGACGATCTCTTGGCAGAATTACGGGCACGCACTGGGAGACCTTGCGGGCACGGCAACCGGCAGAACCCGGGAGCGGGACAAGGCGGTGACGGACCAGATTGTGGAACGGACGCAGGTTTTGACGTCGGTCGCGCCCGAAAACAGGCGTGTCGCCACAAATCACAATTGTTTATAGAGTCATTCCAAACTGTTCTGTGAATCCAGCCATTTTCATAACAGCATTTGATACCACTAGATGATTCCTCAAATAGAATGTAGAATGTATCCATCTTCTAGTATTGTGACCAGCGTGCGTCTAGCTTCTGGTGTAAGTTCTCCTCGAAAAGGGAAGGATCGAGAGACAATGGATCACTGAAGATCATTAAAGGTTTTGTTGTTGTCTGTCAGAGCTTGAACCGCCGAATCTCCTGTTATTGTAGCAATAACTCCATGTTTCACCTGAGAGCTGTATACCTAAAATTGAAGTTCGTTGTGCTGAGCTTAAGATATCGTTAAGATATAAATGGCTACAAGCAATTACATACCCTGAAAAGATAGTGTACTATTGAGCTCACAGCCCCAGGATGTCCATTTGTGAATTGTACATATAGTCCCGAGTGTCAACATCAATTCTATACTTTTTCAACGGGATCAGACGAACATAGCTTCGTCACAACAATTTCAAACTTGTCTCTGCTGTAGAACAGGCCTATTGGTGGTGGCCCTTGTTGAACCGATGGAATTAATGAGATGTGTTGTTCGGGAGTAAAGTCCACTGGACCGACAGGGCTGTAGAGATCGAGATCCCAATAGTCGATTTGACCAATCTTGTGTTGGTTTTTAATCTAACTTCTCTTTGATTCTATCGACAGAGTCAACACTGAGAGCACAATCTGCAGAGAATGGTCTCCGAAGGTCATCAAAGAAAGTATATCACAACCTGCGCTGAGGCGGTTCAGCCATTGTGAGAGAGGTTCGGTTTGGGCAAAAAAGCCCAGGAGAGAAGACTGCTTGCCATGCTGTAGGATCCTGAGAGCACTGGTGTGATGCAGAGAATGAGGAAGGCTCACCTGAGATTGCAACTTGCCTCTGTTCCTCGCTTCTATGTTGTTTAATCAATCGAAGCACACATCAGTTTCTTATTTTACAACTACTCATCAAGAACAATTGTTGTGAGCCAACTCACTGCATCCAATGTTCAACACTTGTCATACTTTTTTTTTAATGGTTTCCGTTATTTTTATCCTTGCCTTGGATGGAGTCATCTTTTGAATGAGTGCCAAAAACATAGCCACTCTTTTCCAATTGCTTTCGACATTTCTCCTTGACGACCTCATCATATTGAGCAAGAAAGAATCTCCTACTCATAACTGAAGTGGCTCCTAATATAATAGGAATAAAAGAGAGAAATGTTGAAGAAAATAAGCATTAAGCAGGCCAAAACTATAAAAGAAGATGTGAGAAGGGTCAGAGCTTCGATTGATGCTTCTGTGTCTACACAGCGGTTACTCTTCTACATCTTGCTTGGCAGATAAAATCTGCACCTCCTGTCTTTTGTGTCGTCTTTTTCTTTTTCAACAGGCAATATACTACTGAAGGATAGAGCACCTTAAACAACAGGGTCATGATCAGGGCCGCAACAAGGTGAATTCACCAAATCAACAGTAATATGGGGCCGCATGCCCCTTTTTGGCATAAATTACCAGAGCTAGATAGAGTGCTCAATAGATACCCTAGTTAGTGTGAGTCCCTTAATAATCCGTGAGCCTGACTGTGAGCGCCGTCACAAAAGAGGTGGCTGCTAAGTAAAAGTCCCACCCAGAAAAGGAAATATGGTATGTAGAGCGACCTAGGTCCATCTCATATATTGTGAGTAAGCAACTCGAAAAGCGTTTATTTCAGCAAACCGAATGTAACTATATCTTTCAATACATTCTGGTTGAAGATTATACACAACTTGGTATATAGACAAGATTAATGACTCTTGTACAAAATACTTGAATCCAAAATCTCACCTGTCGAAGACCGAATGAAATCAATCTGCAGATTGTGCTCATCCAAGAACTTCATCGTACTATAACTGTAATCATCCGCGTACACAAACGCATTGTATGACGGCACAGATCCAACCGAGGACAACCCTTCAATGTTACCAGTACCACCGGCAATGATATACATAGGTGCCTTGGGATCAGTCATACCGTTGGGATCTGCGGTACCCTTATAAACAGGCAAAAAGCGTTGAGAGTTGTGCACATGTCCAAAGACGCCAACGTCGACGCCATAGGTATAGAGCAAGTCTTCGAAAGCATCTTGACATGATGAGCAGGCTGATGAACTATCGCCGGTCGTATACCATGGTCGATGTCCGGCGACAATTACCCAGGGTGTCACGCTGCGGTCAACACTGGCGAGGTCAGCTGCCAGGAAGTCCAGTTGCTGATGAGTAGCGCCGAAGGGCCCACCGTCGAGACCGGCTGAGCCATCTTGACCGTCAGGAGCATTGGGGAAGTCCGTTTCGGTGTCTATCATGGCGATATGGACCATACCATACTCAAATGAGTACCAGAAGGGAGGGTTAGACAAGCTCTTAGCCTTGGCGGCCAATGACTGCGCAGTGGCGTTGGTCGAGCTAGACGTGTATGCTTTTGGCATGGTCTGTCCAAAGCGGTGCAAAAAATCGGTAAAGTTCTTTTGACCTTCGGGACACAATCCAGAGGTAAATGGGACTTCGGTACAATCAGCTTCATGGTTACCTGGGCTAGCCATGTAGAGCTTCCTTCCTGCGATGGGTGCTAGTTGGTCGTAGAATTGCTCGAGAATAGCTTGATACGCATCCTTGCCATCGAGAAGATTGTGAGGTTTCTCAAACCAGTCGTCTGCGTAAGCAAAATCACCGGGGTGGATAACAAGCTCGTAGTCATCCACCGTAGTAGCGAGGCGGCCAATAGTAGAGTGGTTCAACTCTGGCTGAATGGTCGGGATGTCATCTCTTTTGCTGGTAGTGAATCCATCAGCACCATAGACGCCCAAGTCAACTACTACGTCGAGGTTGAATGGAGTCTTGTCTCCTGGCTGGCGGGGACTCTGAAAGTGTCCGACAGTCGAGTTTGTGGACACGATCTTGTAGTAATAGGTTGTTGCTGGAGCTAAGCCCGACAAGATCACAACATTAGAATACGTGCGAGAGCTTTGGTACGTGGTCGATCCAATGGTGGAGCAAGATTTCAAGTTGAGATTGTCAGGGGATGTTCCATACTGAACGCAGCCCGAGCTCTGGGCCGCGTATGTATTCCACCCCACGGAAACAGCTGCGAACAACCATGTTAATTCATTGCTCGGGTTTATTGCTTCAAATTAAACAGGATTATCTCACAGGATGGTCCATATGCTGCCAATCGCTGCTGAAACGGGGTTGTCAGATCCTTCGGGATAGGAGGGAAGTTGATGAGCCCAGCATAAACACTGGGCGCAGCTAACAGCACTGCGGCTGCGCTGATGCTAGTTGTAGATTTCATCCGTAACAGACTGATATCTATTTTCCCGACTGGTCGTTCAAGTGAATGCAACCGCTTGTCCGCAACGATAAAACGAAACAAAAATCTCTATCAACACGGCATGAAACACGGATTATATGTAATTCCAACGTTACATGTGGCATGCATTATTTAAATGAATGCATTCATTGGGCCAAATCACAAAACCCGAGGGCCGAATTCACAAAAACCAATCATGGGGGCGGGGAGCACCACGCCCATGTCCATTGTCGATCCATCTCCGCTGCCAGAGTAGTAGCCATAGCCTGATAATTCACACTATATTTTCTACGAATTTGGAATTGACGGAACATTGCACGGAATAGGAAGAATTTTCCTATGTGCCTGTGTCCACGCGGTCAACGGCGGATCCTATGAACAAGCCTCGTTTCGTAAACGTCTGTCAATGATTTGACAGGGAACGCCAGGAACGGGGGCGGAATCATAGAATGCAGATTAAGTCTACGTCTTATATAACTTAAGAGTTCCACTGTGTTCGCTAACTGCCATTAGTAAGCAGATAGTATGTTTTCGATACTTCATGCAGGTCATTCCCGCATATTAAGATCATGTCGTTTTCTCAACATAAAAATTCCGGACGTTGCATGTGACGATCAACAAGATGAGCATGCTCCTTTCGTATGATCTGGTTCGCTAGATTTAAATATCCGATATGGACTTTGAGTACATGAGACAAAATCAAACAACTGGTGGCTGAGTTTTCTTCAGCCGAGATTTCCGCTCCGCCATCTATGACCCCGCCACTGGGCAACCATCTTCGGGATCTCACCCACCTGGTACTACTATGAGAATTATATCAGTGCTAGCAGGTAAACTGACATTCTGTAATATTTGTAAATGCGATGATCAGATAAATCTATTAGCCAGAAGCTGAACTGAAGGCGGAATTCCCTATTACAATAGTGTGCTAGTTTCTTTGATATCCTCCATATCACACTAGCCCTAACCTTGCCTAGGTAGATTTGATGCCCCTTATGCATTTCAATGCCCCAAAATTTCCTATACTTGCCTGCTAGATATTGCTTTATCGCAAGAGATAGGAGCCGAGTAACAAGTTACCTGATTTCTACAGCTTCATGTTATATAGCGACGAGTCGCCAACTCCCTATTTTTGATCCCTTCAACTTCAATAGTCGTCGTCATATGTTTCATTATATCCATCAATAGGATACTTGATTTCGTTCCCAAGAAACTCCTCTTCGTCTTCGTAATAATCAGGCTCCTCGGTCCCGTCGAACCCCTCTGAGTAAGCAGAATGGCTTTGGTGGTGGTTGGGAGGTATGTTCCATCTCGTGTGACCCTGGTCATCCCGTCTGTCCGGGGCTCTACGGGCGTTATCCCGATGCGCTACCATGGAAGAGAATGGAAGTTGTCTTTACTGAGCGGCTTCCTTCTGTTCCATAGATGGGGTTCCAGATAGCCGACTTGTAGAGTTTTTGGTACTCGGGCCTGAAAGATGGTTCTCTTGAGGCCATGTTCTCTCTTCCCGTTCCCACCCTTGAAAGGCCACCTCATAGCTGGCCCCTTCTCCGGAATGACCCACGAGTTTCCCCAGTGTCCAGTTGTTGCTGAGATTTGGGTGGCTTAGAGTGATAGCCGGGACCGTATTCATAATCATGGGGATCATAGCCGTCCGCAAGTAGACTCATACCATAAGCTTATTGCCCTTCTGTTTCACCAGGTATCTCAAGCAAGTAATTATCAAAGTGTCGGATGATGTCTGCAACAAGTTGGAATTGTTGGTAGTCCAATACTGGTCTCTTGAGTGGCAACTAAACTTGGTTTCGTTGATCAGATCCAGTTTCTCCAGGCTCGTCCAGTTCAGTCTGTTCGTGCCATGTCTCCAGCGACCCAGTCTCCATATCAAACTGCGTAAATGAGTACGCAATCTGAAATTCATTGCGGATCTGTCAGCCATTCCATCTACTTTCTGCGTGATTGTCGTAGTACCATGCTGTTTTGCCCACGCCAGGCACGCTATGCACGAGAATGACCAGTCCAGTTCCTTTGCTTTGTATCAATGCCTCTGGAGATGCGTTTTTGGCAGGGTTGGACCATTTTCTAATTTTTTGGATCAATTTGCTGATCTTTGAACACATTTTCCGACTCCGGTATCCGTTTCAGCCGCTTTATGTCCAGGCGAACGAATCTTCGTTCACGAAATGCATATGTAATTACTCGATTAGGAGAAGGACGAAATCATCAGGCTCAATCAGCGCCGAGTTCCCGGCCTCGCTTTCCCGTAAGAAGTTACTCTTCTCAAAGTCACGATCGCTGAGGATACCTACGAAATTTTCTTCTGACTGTATACCCTTTGGTACTACACTTATCGGCTCCACGGCGTTTGCACTGCCCTAATAATAGATGTGCATTGGGTCTGTTGTTTCCCGCCATTCAGTTTTCCAATTGCGTAAGCGAAGGTCGGAGGATTTAGCAAAATTGTTGTTCGATTTGTGGCCCTCGACGAAGTCGACCATAGCCTGACTGTCAACATACTCGGAGTTAGTCTGTTCGGCTGGTTGGATACTCTCCCTTGGCTCATGAGCGAAAGCCCAGCCGTCGTAGTAGAGATGTCTCTCGGTGGACGTGATGGTCTGAAACCACTCTCCTTGTTCCTTTCAAGACCGCAGGAAGTTTTTGGTATCTTTCAGAAAACGCAGTGGATATACCTGAAGCGTTATATTCTTGAAGCCGCCGAACGCTGGACTGCTATACCTGTCCGGGAAAGGGTTGTATGTGATACCGTCGAAGTCGATGTGATAGCACCAAATCTGAAGTTCCTTGCCCATCGAGTTTTGGAGGCGTGTCGTATGTTGCAAATGTAGTTCCCTGAAAGGCTATCGCGGCTAATCGTGCGAAGTCTCCAGATGTTGTGGGATACTCTGGCTGTCCTAGCCAGACCTGGTCCGGAGGCCACTCGGAGAGTGATGGCACGTAAATGAGCTCCCCAGGCTGGAAAAATATCCCCAAGTCGAGAAAACGCACTTTGCATTGTGTCGTGCCGGCCGCATGCTTCCACGTGGGAGTGATATCTTTTTCCACAAATTCGATATACCTTCGAACGTGCCTCAGTGCTATGGTAGAGTTGCCAATATCACCGGTAACTGACTCCTCGGGAGATCTAGGGTCCGACTTCTGGTCTTCGAGCTCAGCGAATTTGGCCCTAATCTCTGACTCAATTTGATCAGACACGAGTGTTATCTGCATCTTCCTACGTCTCATACTTAGACCATCATTCTTCCAAGAGACTTAGGCACTCCACTATTTGTGGCAAAGAGCAATAAAAGGTAAGAAAAGGCCAGAAAAATTCACGAGGCCTTATTCCATCCCTGGAGTCACGATGACCGGCGAGCCTTGACGGTAAGAGGAGGACCTGTGGTGATTGGATCCGGACGCGCTGGATCCATATCTCCTCAGCTTCAGCTAACTCAACTCGTGGCGGTCTGGCTGACCACCCAATAGGGCGTCGATGCATTTCCAGTTTCATCTCTATCAATATTGTGGTGACCCCGAAGGACATCAATTTTTTCCAGATCTTCTTCCGCTGTATAGCAATTTTTAAGGTGACGGTAGTTCAGTGTCAACACTTCGACCTTCAGCGGAAGCGCCTTTCGATGCCCTTCAAATGACTTCTGCCGTTCAATTCTAGCACGCTCTAATTCCCCTTCTGTGGCTTCTGCCTTCAGGAAAATATGGTTCTTGCCATCCTCTAGACCGTCCTGAATACAATCGGTGGATTCTTCTTCCGTGGTAGACATCTTTCAATGTCCGCGTCTCGCTAAGGATACATTGGCAATCGGCTTTGGGGGAATAGTAGATTTGCTGCGAAGCACGGACGGCGGTTAGAATACTCATCACACATTATGACGAGAACTGGTATGCGAACTCTAGGATTCATTAATCGGACACTTGGACTCGACTCGTGGAAAACACGGATCTCATGATGTTATATAGGCTCTCTGATGTTACGACTGGCATCGTTTCCATTTCCTGCACCTGTGGGCTAGGTACTTGTAAAGACTCTGCGGCAGAGTCTCTGCCTAAGTACAGGTAATAATGCTGCCATGTGAATGAATGAATGATGTTTATCACTCCCGTAGGGACTAACCCTATAACTAACTAGGGCACTACTGCATTAATAACATAATCGTTCTCACATTTCGGGCCTGAACTCGCGATAGCCCATATTATCATCCTCGTAACATGTCTGCTTGGTGTTTGGATCCTTCAATTGCTGTTTTTAGGGATTCCCTTGGTGTTGGCTAGTAAATGATCTTAAAGGTTATAATGCTGCCATATTCCGCACTTCAATCAGTATCTACACCGATAAGATTAGTCCATAAGCGGCTAGTACACGCGGCAGAGGGTGGGTACCGATGGATGCCCAAGAAGCCTTATTGCGGACGCTTAAAATATTCAGTAGATTTCATTGGACAAAATATCATTGTGGCGCATATACAACAGCCTTTATTGGCTGTAGTCTCGTATTACGCTTTGAGCTAATGGAGACGAACTTTATATGGCTTAAATCATGCAGCAAGCCTTCTGTGATTGGCTCACGGAATCCCTGAATAGGCAATACGTCTTCAGCTTTCTTCAGCTGGGTCGTTTTCTCCTGATCTCAGGTAACGGCTTTGCATTGGTATTCTGTAGTAAAACCACACGGCCGTCAACACTTAGGTCATAGTTTCCGACAATTGTATGCACAGTTGTTGGTATTTGCGACGATGGCATACCTACATTTCGCTCCAATCTCTTATATCCTGGCCTTCCTCGCAATCGTCTACCGGTCCCTAGCCGCCGTCCTCCCCGTTCGCGATAATACTATCACTCTCCCTCCAGGCGTGACCTACAACCCCCAAACGAACGTATGGTGTACACCGACGACATGGACGGACGTAGCTTCCTTCTTTCTGGGAAACTATATCTCCCATGCAGCTACCGTCATCTCTTTTCCCGGCGAACCTGTTAGTGTAACGGTTGCGAACATGGTGCTCTCCATTTTCTTCCCGAGTTCTGGCGCAGGTCGCGGAGTATTAGCAATATTGCGACATGCGGCCTTCTACAAGGATCCAATCCAACAAGCCCTTCGGTCGAGAGCTCTGTGCATGGTGGTCCGCTCGCCAGACTGGAAACCCGCTTCTGGGGAGACACTTCGGTCCTTGTCATTCCTGTCGAAAGAGCTTCGGGATGAAACTGGTGAGAAGTACGAAGCTTATAAATTAATGTGTATGGCTACAAGCTTTGTGACGGTGTTATAGCAGGTTGCTTACATTTTGCATATTCAGCTCACAAAAATGAAGAAGTCGAACAATACGTGAAAGAATTGTAAGTTGAGTTACAACTGAGGCCTTTTGAAATCGCGGAATATGCTCACGATACCTCCTTAGAGAAGCATACCATGATCCGATCGAACTCAAGGTGGAGAGTCCAACATGGCTAGAAAGAGGCGCTAATTCTACACGTCTCGAAATAGTCGGCCCCAATTACCAAGTTTTTGGAACATACCAGCTCCCAGAGGGATACGAACTTGCTTATGTGCCTGCCAACGCTATAATTGAATCAATCTCTCCTTCGAACGACAGCTCGGACCATAAACCTTATCCAAAGTCCGATTTCAAACTTTCCTCAGTCTATAGTTTTTCTTCAGCATTGATCTCAATTATCCAAATCATATATGCCCTAACGGGCCTGTACCGATCTAGAGGCGACCAGGTAACGAAGTATGGATATGCAGCATTCTCATTTACGGTTCTACCGTATGTGATTATGTCTTTTGTCAATCTGCTTGGTAACTTGGTCACTCCTCGGTACTCAACCCTGTATCTGATCCGGACTGAGATGATGGACGAGGCTTCACGCCGTGGAGGTGAGTTCGAAGGGGTTATTGGTAAGCTTCAAAGCGCAGACCTTGAAGTAGAGGATACCTTTGTGTTCTCAGCGACACTGAAGAGTCCCCGCAAGAGTTGTGGGAACTTCAGCTAGCCGACAAGATCTATCGTGCTGGCGATGTGGAGCCTATATCTGCTGAAAGCAAGGAGTCGATCTCGAATGCGAATGAAGAGCAAATTCAAATTGACATGACTGTATCGCATACTTTGGACAAGGTATTGTCAACACGCGAAAAGGAAGTGACGAACCAAGTTGAGTCATCGAATAGCCGCGACATAAACAAAAAGCACAGCAAAAAGGCTGATCAGAAGCCTTTACTCATTTGTCCCAATTGCTACCAATTCCGAACCATAGAAGAGCGGCCCAACAAATTCCTAAGCCTGACAAATCCAAAGCAGTACAACCTCGTTGGTTGGTGGTTCGTTATGGCTACCCGCGTCTGCATTGCCGCCGCCCCCTTGGCCGTTATTGGCGGCATGTCCCAATTTAAAATAGGATCAAGTACAGTACCGCAGAGAGCTTGGACAATGACTTGGCTTGCTGTAGGGATGGGCGTGCCGTTTCAGCCGCAGTTATCCCTCATAATTGTTCGAGCATTTTCTGGGCTTGTTCAGAGCGGAATTAAAATGTACAGGAAGGAAGCTGATGCCCGAGGCAAAAAAGCTTTCTGGGATTATGTGATAGAGTGCTCTGGGTATATTCTTTGTGTAGCGGTTTTTGGTGCACCGGCCGTTGGAGGATTTGTTGTCGTTACGCAGATGCTTAGGGAGTCAGCGTCTTGTGAGGTAATATAATCTTATTCTCAGGCAGCGATAATTATGTCAGTATATCCTAGCAGGTCTACCTACTACGACTTTGCGATATCAAGGAATATCTTTGGAGGGATTTATTTCTTAGGGTTAACGTCAGCTCCGTTTTCCTAACAAGCTAAATAACCCTCACCTACTAACGTAATCGGACACCGAGCGGGCCATGACACCGAACGGGCCAGTTCCCTCAAGCGCATCAAAATATTTCTATACACCAACTTTCAACACGCCATCATGCCACCAATATGTACAAGAAGCATACAAAATTTCAGCATTCAAGAGGGCAAGATACTACTTGCTATATCCGATTTAAGAAATAGAAGAATTCGATCTGTACGTGAAGCTGTACGGATCTATAATGTTTCACGTACAACTCTCCAACGCCGACTTGCTGGTATCCAATATCGAGGTGAAAAACGCGCTAATAGTCATATATTGACTGAATATGAGGAGGAATCTCTTCTAAAAATGGATTCTTGACCTTGATAAACGTGGATTACCTCCCCGGCCATCTCTCGTACAAGATATGGCGGATCTGTTTCTTTCCTAGCATGGCAATAAACATGTCAGTGAAAGATGGGTCTATCGATTTGTTGACAGACATTCGGAAGTCAAACTACGGTTTTCACGAAGATATAACTACGAGAGAGCAAAATGTGAGGATTTTAAGATAATCCAAGAGCATTCTGACCGCGTACGAGACGTTGTACAAGAATATGGAATCTTACCTGAAGATATATATAATTTTGATGAGACTGGCTTCGCTATGGGTCTCTGTGCTTCTGCAAAGTTAATTACGGGCAGCGATCGATATGGAAGACCTTATTTACTACAACCTGGCAATCGCGAGTGGGTTACAGCAATTGAAGCAGTTAATTCCACTGGATGGGCTTTGCCCTCATACGTTATCTTCAAAGCAACAACCTTTTATCAACAAGGCTGGTTTGAGACTCTTCCACAAGATTGGAGACTTGATATTAGTAAAAATGGCTGGACAACAGATGACATTGGAATACGATGGCTTCAAAAACACTTTATTCCTCATACGACAAGCCGTACGAAGGGGAGATATCGGATGCTTATTCTTGATGGCCATGGAAGCCATTTGACACCTCAATTTGATCAAATATGCACTGAAAATAATATTATACCAGTGTGTATGCCACCTCGTTCCTCGCATCTCTTACAGCCTCTCGATGTGAGTTGTTTTGCTGTTCTCAAACGACAATATGGACGCCTTGTTGAGCAACGTGTACGGCTTGGATTCAATCATATTGATAAATATGACTTCCTTACGGCTTTTCCAGAGGCTCGTACAATGGCGTATAAAGCTGAAAATATTCAGAATGGCTTCAAGGCAACTGGATTGGTGCCATTTGATCCAGATCGTGTTTATCAAAAGCTTACAGTTCAACTTCGCACTCCAACACCACCTCCCAGTCGATCAAGTAATTCACAATCCTCTTGCCAGCAAACACCTCAAAATCCACGCCAATTCAATCGTCAGACGGCAACAATAAAGAAGCGTATAAATGAGCCTACAACAGGTCCATTTGAGGTGGTTGATCAAGCGATAAACCGGCTGTCCAAAGCATACGAAATGAGCAGGAATGAGCTTCTGATTATACAGAAAGAGGTGCATGATTTACGGGCTGCAAATGAGAAGGAGAAGCAAAAACGTAAACGATCTAGAGCACAAATATCTCATCAAGGATCTCTTACAGCGCAGGAGCCCAGGAACTAATAACTAGTCGAGGTGAGGCCTCTCAACCTCTTCCCGGCTGCACCAGTCGAATCCGAACCTCAGCCTCTCAAACCACGCGTACGACGCACGCAAATGCAGTGGATTGTGGGATTGTCGGGCATAGAATAATCGATGCCCAAATCGTACTACTA